CAGTGCACTGTGGCAAGTAAGCAAGAAGACTGGAAAAGTTATGGAAGCAACACATTAACCCTTTACAGCCGATTGGAGCGGGCACGCTCCATTTTGCGTAACTATTTTTAAATCCCGGTAGCTCTGCAACCGCGTAAGCTAGCGCAATAATTTTTTTTGCATATGAAACCGGAGGAGTTGTACTTACATCTGATGCCATCAGCTTGTCCTAGGTCACAGTTTCCTTCCACATATAGCTTTGCAAAAACTGCATAAAAATCACTTGCAGCAACAAAAACATGATATTCCAGAAACACGCTTCGCCGATCCGATCAGCTGTTTGTAACACTTCCTACGTCCATCAGCGCGAACTATCACATGACCGCATGACCTGCCCGAAACCGGAAGTGACGTCATTTTGCGGAAATGTAGTTTTTTTACGATCGGGGCCTTATGAGCCTATACTTGTGTTTTAAAAAGTTATGTTTGAGTTTATGACTTTCTGTGTCGTTTCTGGGATGCTTAGGACTCATATTGCACTGCTGGAAATAGTTTATTTTGATGCATATGCTGTTATTTTGCAAATTTGCACTATAATATTTATTTTCGTTTTTCCTGCAGTGTATAAAAATTGGTGTATTTCAAAAATAAAACTATGAAGACACTCAAAATAAATTTCCTGTGGTGGGAAACTATTTTGTGCAACTTTTTTGTATTTACAGTTTTGAGGGATGAGCCTCTTAAATTTCTCTAACTAGAAATATATGTTAAAAAAACAAAAACGATTTTCAATTTTTTTGTAGTTTATTGCACTTTTTTGCAATTTATGTAATTACTATGCACCTAATGCAGACATATTATTAAAATTTAGGCTGTAATGGTTGTATTGATGTATAGCAACTTGAAATGCTCCCAAAAATGGCTCCACAGCATGTAAAAATATAATATAAGCTCTGGCGGACTTGGTTCTATGGTAGGTCTTAAAGGGTTAACAAGAGAAGTCTGAGTAAAACCAAAGTTACTTTCCCTAGTAACTAGTTACTTTGAAAGTAACGAGTAACTTGAAGTAACTGAGTTACTTTTGATGGAAGTAACTGGTAATGTAACTAAGTTACTAATTTAAAGTAACTTACCCAACAGTGGTTGTGAGTCCACTGCCTAACCACATGAAACCAAAGAGGGAGAGTTAACTGAAAGCAAAACAAAGTAGTACTTTCTTACACTCATTTCAGCTGAATCCTCTGCTCCCACAGGAAGTATGCAGTGTCCTCATTCTGACAACCGCATACATTAAAATCACTGAAGACAATTTAAATGAACGACGAATTCATTTTATGTTATAATGTTTATAAATAAAATTGAAAAATTGAATTAAATTTTGAATTAATTTTCATCAAAATGAGACATTTTCAATTTTTTAAAGAAAAAGAAATACTGAAACTGAACAATCACTTTTATGTATGAACAATACAATTTTTGTTTTAATCTTATTTTTATTAAATACTAGGGTTGGGAATTTAATGCGTTAATTGCGATTAATTAATTTGAAAAAATTTAATCGCACTTTGCATTCCAAGCAAAGGGGAACTTTTGTCAATGCAAGATTTCCTGGTATACTGATTACACTGATGCACACATCAGAGCTACAAAGAATCAGGAGAAAGCATGTTGCTTGAACTGATCTGAGGCAAATTTCATTTCAAAAGACTACCTGACCAAAGCCTTGATAAAAGCGTGGTTTTGTGCAAATTGTGCAAAATGGAGCTTGCATACAACCGAAGCACTTCAACCTTACAGTACCATCTAAATGCAAAACACGTTGCAGCATTCCACAATTTGGGATTGAAACAGAGATCTTGGTAGGGAGGCGAAACTGTCTAACAACTATGCCCCCGAAGGCCGCTGTTAAGGTTCAAATATTGAGGAAGGAGAGTACAAACAACCATGGTCCAGAAGATCTTGGTCAAACAATTGATTTTAATGAATACACGCGTGGGAAGACCATTCTGTACGCAGACAGCACTTGATCTTCGACTTAATCAAAGCATACACAGATTTTTATAGCATCGGGGTTTAAATTAACGACGCCCCTTCATATGTCACAGACAGAATATATACACACGTCAAATCAAAACCACAATAACTTTTAACACAGTTTAAAGGAACGTTGTCTTCGTCTCTGATTTTTGCAGATGATGTGGTTCTGTTGGCTTCATCGGGTGAGGGCCTCCAGCTCGCACTGGAACGGTTCGCAGCCGAGTGTGAAGCAGCGGGAATGAGGATCAGCACCTCCAAATCTGAGGCCATGGTTCTCAGCCGGAAAAGGGTGGAGTGCCCACTCCGGGTCGGGGATGAGTTCCTGCCCCAAGTGGAGGAGTTCAAGTATCTCGGGGTCTTGTTCGCGAGTGATGGGAGAAGGGAGCCGGAGATCGACAGACGGATTGGTGCTGCAGCTGCAGTAATGCGGACGCTGCACCGGTCCGTCGTGGTGAAGAGGGAGCTGAGTGTAAAAGCGAAGCTCTCAATTTACCGGTTGATCTACGTCCCTACCCTCACCTATGGCCACGAGCTGTGGGTAGTGACCGAAAGAACGAGATCGCGGATACAAGTGGCAGAAATGAGCTTCCTCCGAAGGGTGGCTGGCCTCTCCCTTAGAGATAGGGTGAGAAGTTCGGCCATCCAGGAGGGGCTCAGAGTAGAGCAGCTGCTGCTCCAGCTGAGGTGGTTCGGGCATCTGACAAGGATGCCCCCTGGGCGCCTCCTGGGTGAGGTGTTCCAGGCATGTCCCACCGGGAGGAGGCCCCGGGGCAGACCCAGGACACGCTGGAGAGATTATATCTCTCGGCTGGCCTGGGAACGCCTTGGTGTTCCCCGGATAAGCTGGAGGAGGTGGCTGGGGAGAGGGAGGTCTGGGCCTCTTTGCTTAGGCTGCTGCCCCCGCGACCCGGCCCCGGACAAAGCGGATGAAGATGGATGGATGGATGGATGGATGTCTTCGTCTCGTCTGGAACACGAGCCCCACATCCTGCCAGACGCTGTTCCTCTTTCCAGAGACAAACATGACCAACCTCTCACCTATAAATGAGTCTACTACATGCTCTCTCATCTCACCCGTTGCACTTCTGACCTTTTACCAGACCAGAGGCTCATCCTTATGTGTAATAACCTAACTGAAACTACATGTACTATGTTGAATAAATGTTTTAATCAAGAACCTCTACTAAAAGCTTAGTAAAAGAATATAAAAGTATAACAGACAATTTGAATAAGCTTGTAATTCAAATAGCCTCGTCTAACCTGCTACTCAGAATAACTTAGACTCTGCTTTCAGTTCTACAAACTCTCTGCAACTTCCTGTCAACTCCTGCCTGCAACTTAGTCTTTCTGAAAGACACACTGTTTAAACCTCTGAATACAATATCAATGCTGCAGATTATATTATTAATACAATGGTAATGATGATGATTATTTAACAATAGCAGTAAAATAATTTCCCTGCTCCACACCGCTAAGGGGCTAACGGTAGAGGATGACAGCTATGTCAGTGTTTGCACGCTAAAAGCTATGCTGGAACAGCAACGTGAGGATCTGACTCATCAACAGCAAGATAGCTTCAAGCCATTTGTCAAATTCAAATCATAGATAGAACTAACAAGAGGTTGGACAGCATTCTGAAGGAATGATGGTGCTGTTGATGAGCTGCAAACTGAAGAGAAGCGTGTGAAAAGCAAACTGAACGAGTTTGAATCAGCGGTCAGCAGCATGCACGAGAAAAACAAAGAGTTAGCAACCAAGATGGATTGTTTAGAAAATCAGTTGAGGAGGATGGATGGAGGACGTAGCGGAGGATTAATAGAAGAAAAAGCAGAAACTTGGGAAACATCGGAGGATAAAGTCCGACACTTGCAGAAGAAGAAGCTGGGCCTGGCCAGTGACAGCACTGAAATTGAACGCGCTCACAGAGTCGGTCCATACAAGTAGAATGGACGAGCTGGCAGACTGTGGACAGATGTAAAAAGAGACAATTAATCCTCTCATTCGAAAGAAAGCTTTACAGTCTTTACATCAATGAAGATGTTTCAGAGTCCATCAGGAAGAAGAGAAAATTACTGTTACCACAGCTGAGAGTGGCCAGAGGCAGAGGTGATATTGCCGTCCTTAAATATGATAAATTAATTGTCAAACCGTCAGACGTCAGTAATTTTGTCATTTGTAGCTTTTATGCTTGGTCTGTTTGTAAATGGCCGACTCTATACTTCTATATACTATACTACTCCCAGATTCTCCAGAACAGATTTTTCAGTAGCTCATGTTAATATTTCTGAGACACATTTAGAAGCTGCCTTTGAGAATAATGAATCTGAAATGAATGGTAAGTTGTATAGGAAAGACCGAAACAGATTTGAAGGAGCCGTAGCCCCTTATATTAAAGTGTCTTGCAAGGGGAGAGTGAAAAGAGGTTTATACCAGCCTTGAGGCCCTGCTGCAGGTACAGTGTAAAGATGCCACCACAAAGGAGCCAAAGACAAGGAGCCTCATCCTCTCTGATTCAGATGAGGAAGCCCTGTATAACTGAGCCCTGAGCTTGTGCAGAGCAGAATCCACCATCAGCTAGACGACTGCCTGCTGCAGTGAGGGTCCAGGTGAGCAGGGACCCACCCACAGCTGTCTGTACTGGCCCGCAAGTATTTGATTAGTCCCACCACTTCTGTCCCATGTGAGTGACTGTTCTCACTTGGAGGTCACATAGTAACAAAAAATGTACTTAAAGTACTTAAAATAACACTTAATTTTTAAGTCTGCCCAGTTTTGTCCAGGGATATTATTTTTGTTTCCCTGTTTTGAATCGGAATGTAGTTTAAATGTTGTTGTTTTTTTCCATAAATTAAAAGAGCTTGAGTTTACAATATTCATGTCCGTGTCTATTATTTGATTCTGCGCCCACTAAAATCCTTTTAAAGTAAATAAAAAACCCTTCTGACAGTTTCAGCTGAAAATAGTTTGACTGGTAAAGATTTTTATTGAAACAGTGTAAACACATTATGATTGATTAAGATGACATGTTTCAAAGACATTCACAATACATCATCTGCAAGTTTGTTGTTGCTTATTTAAGATATTCAATCAACCACTTAATCAGCTTAGCAAGTTAGCAAGCGTAGAACAATAATTAATCAATAAGCAAAATATGAAATCTTTAAGTCATCACAAGTAATTAAAATCATGATAAATGACAAACTGACCAAACAGCATGATTCAAGTCTTAGTAACAAGAGTGAACATATATTAAACATATTTTAACTTCATTAAAAGGAACAGTGATGGCATCAAACAACACTTTGACATTTTATCTCATGTAAAGAAAACAAACTAAGTACAATACATTTTTTGAGCAAGCTAAAACTATGTTGCTGTTTCATACAATTTTAAAAAATATAATTCTGGAAAACGTTCAGACTTCTGAGATGCAGAATCTCAAAGGCCCAGCAGTACTTCTTGTGCCAGCTGCCTCAGGAGTTTTTATGCAGTAACCCAGTGTGCTCATCTATCACTGTATACTTTAGATCAGCCACCAAGCAGGAAAAAAAAGACTGCAATGCACTGTGATGTCTGCAGAAAAAATAATTTGTGCTGACTCGCTCTCGATTCAAGATTTTTACAAATCCAGTATCAGGAAGCAGGAAATATCACTGCAGAGCCATCACGCCCTCCTCACAGCCTGATCCAGCTCCTCCCTGCTACAGAGCAGTGCACGCCAGGATGGCCGATCGGAGCAGCTGATAGGAGAGGAGGTGGCAGTAGGGACTGAGCTGACATGGCATAAAATAAAACAGAAAGTTCACAAGCATCCATACATACATACCTTACACATACTGTATATATATGAACTAGTTATGCATATTTTAGATTTGCATTTAGGCATACGTATTCGATAAATAATCGAGAATCTCTGCACCATAAATGTGCTATATGTGTTTTTATTGTATGTGACATTTTGATGTCAGGTTGTCAGTACTGTTGCTGTCAACTGTGTTCTGTACACTGAGAGCAAGGGAATATCTGGAGCCCCCCCCCCCACCCACACACACACACGTATGATTGACCAGTATAGAACACTTATTAATCTATAGTCTATCTAAGTTCACTTGCTAATGTAAACCTGTGAACAAATTGTGGTTTCCTGCTAAAAGCAATTTAGTTTCAGGCAGTACATGGTGTATTATGATGATTTAGTTTCATATTGAATAACAAAAAGTTTACTGGATCTATTTATTAAATTCCTGGCTAAACTTGGATCAGGGTTAGGTTAGGTTAAACTTCCAAACTAATGAAAATGCAGAGTATTTACATAGTAAACTTTGAAGTAAATGGCAGAATAAAACATTTCAACTTGGGGTTTTATAATAATGTGTTTTAGTTTTCAATAGATAATTGAAAGGCTGATTTTATTGAGCTCTCTTTTACGTCTTTGTGATTGCTCCTTAGCACTTTTCATGCAAACAATAAACAAAGCTGGTTCGAAATGTCAACATCTGGTTCGATTTCCAACAAAAATATCCATAATCCGGAGAACTGTTCACCTTCCTGCTGCTACACTCCACTTTTCTCTTTTATCCAGCTGCGGTATTTGGTAACTCGGGTGTAGACACCAGGTCTGAAACTTAGAGCACAGCCTTTGCCCCAGCTCGTCACGCCTGCCAGGAAAAAACGCCCATGGGAGTTGGCGACAGACAGGGGCCCGCCAGAGTCACCCTGAGAGTTAGAAAGAAGAGTCACAGCAGAACTTGACATTCAGCTCACTTAATTTACTGAGAAATATCTCCGACTGAATCCCAACAAGCATCACAATACAAACCATGTGAATTTCTGAAGGCTTTTACACACTAAAAACTGATGTTATTTTGCTGGAAGGATTTGTGGAATTTCTTTTCTTGAACCAGGCTCGATTTTCTGATCCGAATAATCATATCGCTGATTTTGGAAATCAGATGAAGCTGCCAACAAGAGCTCAAACTGCCTTGCAATGTGTACGACAGCTTTACTGCTGTCTTTGCCAAAAAGTGATTTCTGGTGTTTGCAGGAATTTAAGGTCTTATAAATAACTTGTTGACCTAAAATCTGTCAAAAATAGGTCAATCACATCTCTCATGAAGAATATCAATTAGCCAGAAAGTGACTTTTATATATGCTTTAATTATCCAGGTAAAATTAACATTGACATTAAAAATGTATTTTAAGCTTACTTGAAGTGATCAAAAAAGACCTGGATTGATGAGAATATGGGTACAAATAAAAAGAGAAGATATTTGAAGAATATTATGAATATTATGAAGATATTTCAAAAACAGACAATTTCTTTGTTTTATATGTAACCCTGTCATAAATCTTTTTCACGACAGTCTTTTTACTGATATAAGTAAATATATCAGACGTAAAAAAGAAAAACCCACAGACAACCATTGGAAATCACTTTTTGGCACAACACTGGCAACAAAGGAAATTTCTACAAATCAACTACAATAATTTCTACAATCAAATCAGTCGATCTGAGTCGAGTCGAGTCGTGGCCAGTCGATCAGAGTAGGCACTAAAGAAAAGGTGCTAACAACCAGATTGCAAGCATGTGTGAATGGTTTGTACCTGACAGGTATCCACGCCTCCTGAAAGGAATCCGGCACATAACATGTTATCTGTGACCCTGTAATACAGGAGGAGATTACACAACCGACTGCTGAAGATCAGAATTTCCGCCATCTGGAGGACACTCGCTGAGACACCTGAGAGACAACAAGATCAAATCATGTAGAGCTTGTGGATGAATAACAAAAAAAATAGATTCTGTTTGTAAAAGTTTATATTAAACCAAACTACCTCCACAGATCTGCTCCCACTAACTACTCAAATGTTTGTCTTTCTCATTATTTTATTCAAACTCATCACTTCCAGTGTGGAAAGAGCTTTGAGACGGGCAGTGTTTCAGTACTTCTTTATTATCAGCTCACCTCCCTGCAGGGTAGTCCCCCAGCCGGTGATCCAAGCCTCTTGGTCTGAGTGGAAGTAGTAGGTGGAGGAAGGCAGGCAGATGGGTCTGATGTGCTGGGTTAGGCTGACTCTGGTGTCCAGCTCCATCAGAGCGATGTCATTGTCTTCAGTGTATCTGTTGTAGTACCTGTGAGTGATGATCTGCTTCACACCCCTCTTTACTGTCCACTCATTGGTCTGGTTCTGCACATGGAGGCCTAAAAAGGCCTCCCATTGGTCAGCGTGAGAGAGCCTGTATCAATAAAACAGACAAGGCTGTAAACAACTTCTTTAACCTCAAATCTGGAATTGAATTTAAAATAAAATACTGAATTAGATCAATGATTATTAGCCATTCAGTGAAAAGACTAACTGTCAGGGATTCTAACAGCTAGTCCTTTTACTGAATGGCTAATCATGTAAATTAATAAATAGATCATTTTAAATTTATTTCTACTTATATTTAAAGGCATCTTTACTTTTACGTGGTTTTAAACAAAGCATTAAAAGGATTGAGGAGAGACTTGCATAGCCTCTTGTTTTTCTTAGTATTTAATGATGGCACAATAAACTACCTTTTGCCTGTAATAAGTCACTTTTGTATAATTAGTTTAAATACTCTCCGAACTCTGTTGACACTGTAAAACTGTCAAAGTATGCAAACGTTAAAACAATGTTTTGAACTGTTCCAAACTCAGAGTAAATTTGTTTGTTTGTTTGGTTTTTTACTGTCTTAAAAGTACAGAGTTTGTCTCCTGAATCCAAATTGGGAGTTGGTTCCCACATAAGAGGTGCCTAAAAGGCTCTGACTCCCATTCTACTTTTAAATATCCTGGGAACAAAGGTAAGCCAGGAGTACAAGACTTAGGTACCTGATTGTTCAAGACTTTAGGCAATTGTTGTTCTATTTCCCCGCTATATAAATAAAATGAAATTGAAATGAAAGTTGAATTGACCTTGTGTGTGATTAGAAGGGTTTTAATTTTGATTTTGGATTTAACAGGGAGCCAATAAGGAGAAGCCAGTACAAGAAAGAGATGCTCTCTACTCCCTGTCAGTGCTCTTGCTGCAGCTTTTATGATCAACTGAAGGCTATACAGGACGTTTTTAGTACCACCAGATAATAACGACCTAGAGTAGTCCAGCCTAGAATTAATAAATGCATAGGCTATTTTTTTTAGCATCACTCTCAGGCAGGATATTTCTAATTGTAGAGCTACTACTGCAAGAAAGCACTCCTACATTTCTGTTTAACATACACATTGAAGTACACATGGTGGTGAAAAATTCCAAGATTCCTCACAGGAAGCCATAGGAATGCCATTTAGAGAAAGTATACAATAATAACTAATAATGCAAAAACATAATGGGGTTCTTAGGATAGAGTTACATAACCTCCACATATTATTTAATATAGTCCACTACTTATTGGCAGTGAAAGCCCTTTTCAAGGCCATATTAACAGTGTCTGTCACACATGAATTGTTATAAAAGGATCTGTGACTGGCCTCAGACTACAGACTGAAACCTTACCTGAAATAAATTAAGCTGATCTGTCATTCAAGGTCATCTTCTGAATCTCGTTCAGTGTGTCTAAATGGCAATCATTAAAAAACATTTTTGTTTTTGTGAAAAAAAAGCATCCAAAGTGAGGCACATTGGATGCTCGGGGTTAAAATTTTGGGTCTGAGATGGAATTTCAGACGACACAACCAAAGAGTGAGAACTGGAATCCCAGGTAGAGAAAACTAGCATTGCACTGGAAGCTGTCTAGAAATTCCAGAGTAGATGACTATGAACGAGAGACTCAGGCAAGGTTTTAAAATTTTAGATGTCTGATCATGGATCCAAGTACAATCAATGATCAAACATCTGAACACTACTAAACACTCAGTACTTCAGATGGAGGAGCTCCTACTTGTAAACTGTAGTGTCTTGGACGCAGTGGGCAGCAGTCAGCAGCCAGCGGTCACTCAGCACAGAGGCTCCACACACGTGTCCTAGCCCCTTGAAGTGGAGGCTCACTTGCCAGGGCCACTCACCCACACTAGCTGACTGACCTCCCACGATACGAGTGCTACTGTACAGATTCGTCCCGCAATCTGAAAGCAAACACAGATCTCAATGTCCAAGTAACTAGAAAAGTCACACTGCAACCATCTGTGGGTGAGTGTGTGTGGTAAACGTACCACAGTTAGCCTCGTCAGAGCCGTCCTCACAGTCCTGCACTCCATCACACTCTGGGTTCAGTTTACTGATGCAGAGTCCATTACTGCAGTGGAAGGTGAACGCTGAGCACACTGAAGCTAAATGAAAGGAGACACACATGATATCAGTCCCTAAGAAAACTCTAATCTAACATGTCTGTGAAGGTTCTCAGTCATCCAGGTCATCGTAGTCTAAGGAGCTTGGAAAGAAAAGTTGCTTGAAGATGTTTCACCTCTCATCTGAGAAGCTTCTTCAGTTCTAAGGGTCAAATGGTGGAGAGTCCCAGATTTAAACCCAGTGGGAGTTTCCCCCAAAGAGGGACAAAGGACCCCCTGATGATCCTGTAGCTAATCACATGAGCCAAGGTGTGAAACTGGGTGTGGGTCACAATCAGCCAGGGTTTCGAGTGAGCTCATTGTGAAACCTGGCCCCACCCTATCATGTGATTTCCTGAGGTCATATGGCCCAGGGTGTGAGTGGGCGTTAAGGGGTCTGGGAAGGGATCTTAAGCTTATGTCTTCTATATTGTGTGATGATTCATGTGCCGAGTTGATTTTTTTTTCTATTCTCAAACTGATCTCCCTGTTGGAGCTCAGTCTGGGGGAGTTCTTTTTTTTCTCCTCGTCTTTCTTCATGTTGTGCATTTTCCATTGTTATAACTCTCTGACCTGTCTTCCCCATGTGATGTTTGTGTAATGTATGTATAGTCGGAAGGAATTCCTGCGCTGAAGACACGCACAACTGTCGTCTACAAACTTTGCCGGGTCCTGATGATTACCCTCGTCAGTGGTCCACAACTTAACAGTGTGTGGCTGAGCTTCAATCGACACTGGATCTTTGAGTGACCTAGTCAGTACAGCCCTGGCTCTGATATGAACCTGTCTTTTGCTCTTGTCTGTGTGAACGCTAAATTGATCATCATATCCTGTTTTATTAGGAACCTGAAAAGGAGTGTGTCACAGGAGAAGAGCATTATTGTAAATATCGAGTGTTGGGTTTTCATCTTTCACACCATGGACCACGAGCACTGTGCGGGAGTCGGGAGTACCATGAAGAAGTCACGTCTTTGGAAACTGTTACATTATTTATAATGAATAGTGAGTAAACAAACTAACTGTCACTAACCACAAAGTCCTGCATTTGGGTCCTGTTCGTGCCCTGAACCTGACATGGGGAGGTAGGTAGGTAATTGGCGGGGTAGGGAGGTGGGCGGGGTGTTGACATGCAGTTGTTGCTTGTGAAATGAACTATCAGTTGTATGTCTGGGACTTTTGTATAAAGAAAAGAAAAAACTGTTCTATAGATAAAGTTGGGGGGGTGGGAAGGATTCTATCAGAATATTTACTTCATCTTCTTTTAAACAGGCTTTGTGTAGCTTTTAGCTCTTCTGAGACCAATTCAAGTTGAGATTTAATCCACATTTTTTGCTAAACCTTCTTTAACTCCTTTTACACAAAGAGATCTTTGATGGTTTGGACTCACTGCAGTTGAGCTCATCACTGTTGTCTCCACAGTCATCCCTGCCGTTACACTGCAGAGTCTTCTTGATGCACCGGTTGTTGCTGCACTTGAACTTTCCCGGACAAGCTGACAAGACAGAAAAAAAATCCCTTCATCTATTTGCCTAGTTCAGAGAATGCTGCAATCCTGTAATTAAACATTTATAAAATAAATAAATAATTCTATTTAAAATGATTTGGGTTCAGGCCTCCTCCTGGCATCTCCACCTCTCTGCTCATGTCATGGTCCAGAGTCTGTGACTCCGTGTTTATGTTTAGTTTATTAGTATTCTGTGGTTTTGGTTACCTTGGGTGTTTGTACTCTTCTGTTTCATGGTTCATGTTCCTATGTTCTGTGTCCCCCAGTCTGTGTTAAGTTGGTGTGTTATGTCATTGCGTGTATGTGTTTCCTGTTTTATTGTGAAGGTCTGCGTCTTATGTGAGTGTTTTCAGTTTGCCTCCCTAGTCTCGTCACGTTAATCACTCCCAGCTGTGTTCCCCACCTGTGTGTAATCTCCCTGTGTTCAATTCAATTCAATTCAATTTTATTTATATAGCGCCAAATCACAACAAAAGTCGCCTCAAGGCGCTTCTCAGTGTTCTCTGAGTGTATTTAAGTTGTGTCTTCTGTCATAGTAGTTGCTGGTTCGTCTGTGTTGTTTCCCCTCGGTCTCCCTGGGTCTCTCCGTATGTATTTCCCCAGACCTCCCTGCATCTTCGTTTCTGGTTTGTTTTGTTAGTTTTACCCAGTTTAGGTTTTCCTGTTTCACCTTCACCCACGCCATTGCTGTTTGTATTTTCTTTTGTTAAATAAATGGTAAATGGCCTGTATTTATATAGCGCTTTACTAGTCCCTAAGGACCCCAAAGCGCTTTACATATCCACACATTCACACACTGGTGATGGCAGCTACATTGTAACCACAGCCACCCTGGAGCGCACTGACACAGGCGAGGCTGCCGGACACTGGCGCCACCGGGCCTCTGACCACCACCAGTAGGCAACGGGTGAAGTGTCTTGCCCAAGGACACAACGACCGAAACTGTCCAAGCCGGGGCTCGAACCGGCAACCTTCCGATTACAAGGCGAACTCCCAACTCTTGAGCCACGATCGCCCAAATAAATACTCACCTGCACCAGAGCTGCCACCTTTTGGGTCATTTCTACAACTCCACACGTCTGCCACACCGCGGTCGTGACAGTACGAACCAGCCAGCATGGACCCTGCAGCACTCAATCCGTCCGAGGAGCTCCAGGATGACATCAGCTACAATGTGGAGATCCTCCTCGGGCTGTGGCTGGAGAATCCTCAGTACGAGCTTCGCCGCACTGTTGAAAACCGGCTACAACGGCTCTTTTCCGGCCTGCCATTGCTTCTAAAATCGCTTCCTCTGACCATGCAGGCTTTTCTCCGGCACACACCTCACCTTCTCTCAGCCACTCCTGCCTCGCTGCCCAACTCGCCGGATGTGATCTTGCCCGGCCCGTCGGAGCCGTCTGCGGGGAGGAAACGCCGATCGCGCCGCCGGCGCGCCACCCCACAGCCGGACGTTCGGGCTTCTAATTCGCCGGCTGTGGTGAGTGAGGACTCTTTTCCGTTTTCGGACTGTGTGACTGTTCATTCAGGGGCGGTGTTCTGTGCGGCAGATGATATTGTGAACAGCATATCACCTGCTCAGCAGCCACTCTCAGCTCAGTTAGCTGCCCTGCAGCCACTCTCAGTTCTGTCTCCAGTGTCACCAGTGTCACTTTAAGTTCAGTCTCCAGAGCCTCCAGTGTCACCTTCAGTTCAGGCCCCTGCGCCTCCAGTGTCACCTGTAGTTCAGGCTCCAGTATTACCAGTTTCACTCATTCACTCCATGCAGGGAGAAAGTCTAATTTCAACTCAAGGTGCTTTTCATAGTTTAGCCGCCATTGGCACAGTTTGCCGCTCCAGGGCTTCCCCAGAGGCTAGGTCTCAGTCCCCAGCTCATTCTGGACCCCTGAAGTTTAAGCAGCCACCTGAGAACTGCACCATGTCAGCGTTGCCTGGGCAGAGCCAGTGCTCAGTGCATTGCTAGTCGCCTTTGTGTCAGCTAGTGGCCTCCATGACTGCTGGCTTAGTAGTGACTTCTGCTGGAGGGTCCGTAGGACCGCTCCGGCCTTCGTCTCCAGTCTCCGCTGGAGGGTCCGAGGGGCCCGTCCGGCCTTCGTCTCCTGTCGTCGCTGGAGGGTCCAAGGGATCCGTCCAGTCTGCAGCGCCTCCGGCTTCCACGCCACCGCCTGCAGTGCCCCCGGCTTCCACGCCGCCGCCTGCAGCCTCGTCTGGTCCAGCTTCAGAGCCGTCAGCCTCGTCTGGTCCAGCTTCAGAGCCGTCAGCCTCGCCAGCTGCAGCCTCATCATCCGCGCCAGCTGCAGCCTCTGCTTCAGCGTCGCCTGGCCCAGCCTCTGTGTCTTCAGCCTCGCCTGGTCCTGCCTCCGTGTCTTCGCCTTCAGCGTCGCCTGGTCCTGCCTCGTTTGGGTCTGCAGCTAACCGGCCACTTTCTAGGCCACTGGCCAGGCGCCATCGCCGTCGTGGGCGGCCCCCAGACCCTCTTCGCCTGAGTGGCCGCCGTTGCCTTCCGCACGGCCGGCCCCCGGTCCGCCATCGCCTGAGTGGCCGCTGTTGCCTTCCGCACGGCCGGCCCCCGGACCAGTGCTGTCGTCGTCACCGTTGCCTTCCACATGGTCGGCCCCCTGAACTGACTCCTGTGCTGGCCGGCCCCCTGACATCTTCTGTTTTGGACTCTGTTTTCCTGTGCTCTGGTGTGCTTCTTTTCTTTTGGTTTTGGACTCGTGTTTTGTTTTTCTTTTTGTCTTTTGACCTTCTGGTGCTCCTGTTTTGTTTTTGCCATGAATGAGGAATTCCTAATAAGCATGGGACAAAATCTTGTGCTGTTCAGTGGTAACACTAATTGTCTTCAGAGCAGTACATCAGGAGTTTAAATCCCAACCACTAATGGCCTGTATTTATATAGCGCTTTTTTACTAGTCCCTAAGGACCCCAAAGCGCTTTACATATCCAGTCATCCACCCATTCACGCACACATTCACACACTGGTGATGGCAAGCTACATTGTAGCCACAGCCACCCTGGGGCGCACTGACACAGGCAAGGCTGCCGGACACTGGCGCCACCGGGCCCTCTGACCACCACCAGTCTAAGGTGGTGGTCAGAGGCTAAGGCCCCCAGGCTACATATACCAAAGCTATCCAAAGCCTACTTCAGTATATGAGAAAGAAATATATAAATGAAGCAATGCCCGCTCGGACGTTGCCTATATTAACAAGATCCACATCAGGTGTTGAGGGGCACGGCATGTTAATGAGTGGCCACTGGAACCAGGTTATGGTTCCAGTGGACAAGCTATGAGAAAGGGTATTATCAGAATGCTACTACACCAGTTACCCCTATGAAAGAGATTACATGAGGATTTGGGACCTATGAATTATTTAACGCCACAATTTACACTTACACTCAAACATATAGTTGCTCACTGTTCCAACATCTGTAAGAGTCCACAAGAAGCAACTGCTATTACTTTCTATGAGGTCTTCTACTAGAATATCTGAATACTGCATTACAGACAATCCCCCTCTGGCAGCACCATGTGGAAGGTCCTGTCCATTTGGCTAGGATAAACAAGCACATGGCTCAAAAATGAGCAGTGCCCAGAAAGGAATTGGCTGAAACACTAGAGGGGCAAAACACCATCTGCAGATAGCACATTCACTTCCTTTGAACCTGTGCACTGCCTGGATTGACGAAGAAAGCCTATGAATTAATGTGTCACACATTGGTGGCCACAACTGCCCGTGTGCTTAATGAATAACGCAGGCAGCAGAAACCCAAGAAAGAAGAGGAGCAAGAAAGTGAACCATCGTGAAAGGACGGGCCCCTGCATGGCATGTAGCAACAGCAGAAGAAGTGGCTGAGAAATCTTCCCAACAGCTGGACCTAACGACAGCACAGAGACACTGATCACAGCACAAGAACAAGCTTTAAGCACAAGATCGATAGAGACTGGGGTCTACCACAACAGGGAAGACCCTACGCTAGCAGGCAGGGCATACATGAAATGCCACAACCTAGTGGCTGACAGTTATATTTGTGCCACAAAACCAACCAATCACAGACTTGGATGCAAAAAATTCTGATTGGCTGTTTTGGTCTCCAGTCAGCTCACTAGCCACTGTAGCTAAACCCAGGCAAATATCCCAGAATGCATTTTGTCCAAAGCTCAAACGAGGCAGTTGTGGAGGAACGCAGAGTGGCGGAGTTTGAAATATTACTCTTTCTGGGTCACAACATAAACTGTGTTCATTTCTTCACTCAAAATAAATGTCTGTTCAAAGTGCAACACTTATACAATTTTTTTTTAAAAATTTTATATACGCTCTGAATAGTGGCACAGAAATAACGCCATACTCCACAGATGCTCGACCTATTACAAAGCCATGATTTTGGTTTACTGCGAGTGATTTCTTTTTCTTTTTTTTGTTAGTATCCAAGACACGTCACACACAAAGCACAGTCACAAAGAAAACCCGTGTTTGTGTCTGGACTCACTGCAGTTGATCTCATCGCTCTTATCTCCACAGTCGTTCCAGCCATCACATTGAGAAATCTTGCTGATGCACAGGGTGTTGTTGCACTGGAACCTTCCTGGACAAGCTGATAAGACAAAAACAAAAATCATGTCATCTATTTATGTCATGGTACCAGAATTTTAGACTTCTGCATTCTATTTTTTGCAGGGTTATCTTTAGTTTTCTTCTTAGTTGTTATCAAGGTTTCTGCTTTGGCTCCAGTTGTGATTATGATAGTCTGTCTTTCAGTAACACTGCTTCTCCAGTAAGAACCATGTATTATGAAGTCTTCTTTCTGTGATTTTTCCTTGTTTAATCGCTTCCTTCTTTATTTTGCCAACCCTAGTCACCTGTGTTTAGTGTTCTGTTTTATTTTGTCTTGTTTCCCTGATTAGTTTCAGCTGGGTTCCCTCGTGTTTCCTGGTTTTTCAATGTTTTCAATACTTTCCTTTGTTACCTTTTGGGTTTGGATTGCCTTCAATAAAGAGTTAATTTAATCCCTGTCTGACAGTCTGCATTTGGGGTCCTCATTCACACACACACACACACACACACACACACACACACACACACACACACACACACACACACACACACACACACACACACACACTTTACATCAACTCTGGCTGAATGAAAATACCTGTGCTCTGAAGCTTCAAGTGCCACTGAAAATCCTTCAAAACTGTTTATCAAAATATCAGAAGTCTATGAAAGCTGCTAAATCCGCCTTCTTGTCTGGTCTTATTTTGACCAATTGCCACAAGCCTCGCTCCCTTTGTGAATTTTTTTAAGGTATTTTATTGATAAAATTACAACTTCAAGGGCCCAGCTTTTATCGGTACTCTCACATCAAGTCCCAGTCCTAAATGCTTTGCTGTCTTTCAGCAGTTTGAGCCTGTATCTCTTTCGGATGTAGAGGAAATAATTGATCACTTAACAATCTCCATTCCCCATATGATATTCTTCCTGCCCGTAATTTCAAGGAAGCGCTGAACACTATTGGGCCCTGGATTTTATGTATATTGAATGCCTGACTGTCTTCAGGTTGTGTACCGTCTGCCTTCGAGCATGCTGTTGTACAACCTGTTATTAAGAAGACTAATCTTGATTCTAGTGTTCTTTCAATTTAGAGGCCAATTTCTAAACTTCCCTCTTTGTCAAAAATCTTGGAAAAGTAGTATGTAAACAACTTCTTAGATACCAGTGGTATTAGTGAAAAGTTCCAGTCTGGCTTTAAGACCAACTACTTGATCTAACCTTGATCAAAGAATGTTATTGCACTGCTGAGTCTATTCAGTCTTCTAAATCTCACTTAAAGACTCATTTTTTTACTTTGGCTCTGACTTAGGTTAGTTTGACTATCATTTGGCTGGTTTCTATGTTTTTCTTGTGTTGCTGTTGTTTTGCTGTTGGTAAATGTGTCTATTTTTATTGGCTCCTAACTTGTGAAGCACTTTGATTGCCATTGTTGTTTTTAATTGTGGTATATAAAAATGTTTTGATTTGATTTGATGAAATGAAATATGTAGAAATTAAATTTCTGCTTTACTCACTGCAGTTTTGTTCATCTGTGTTGTCTCCACAATCATCAATCCCATCACACAGCCAAGATTTGGGTTTACAGTGACCATTTTTGCATTGTATCTGAGATGCGTCACATGCTAAGCAGAGAAACAAATTGAACACAACAACAATAAAATGCTACAGACTGAGAGTGATTTACAGTTTTTTTGAGGTCAATTCCAGTTGATATTTAATCTGGATTTTTTTTTGCTAAACCTTCTTTTATTCTTTTTAGACTTCATACAAAGAGATGTTTGATGGTTTGGACTTACTGCAGTTGATCTCATCGCTGTTATCTCCACAGTCGTTCCAGCCATCACACTGAGAAATCTTGCTGATGCACAGGGAGTTGTTGCACTGGAACCTTCCCGGACAAGCTGATAAAACAAAAAGTCCCTTCATCTATTTGCCTGGGTTGGAAAATGCTGAAATCCTTTTATGAAAATGTTTTTTAAAAGTCCTCTTTACAGTCAGTTGGGATGAAGGCCTCATACTCAGCAGTGAAACCCTGGTCAACATAGGAGGAGTCCGAGTTAAACGTAATGGTCACCTTGTTGCTTTTGATGGTGATCACTCTGCTGTTTAAGCCATTGCCACACAACCTACAACAAAAAAAGAGATAGACAGACACACACTGAGCTGTCTGTCAGTCTGTCCATCTAAACAGACATACATACAAGTCCTAAAATAGTGTTTTCAACACAGTCTAGTAACTAATACTTTCAGTACATAATAATGGATTGCATTTATATAGCGCTTTTCAAGGCACCCAAAGCGCTTTACAATGCCACTATTCATTCACTCTCACACACTGGTGGAGGCAGCTACAGTTGTAGCCACAGCTGCCCTGGGGCAGACTGACAGAAGCGAGGCTGCCATATCGCGCCATCAGCCCCTCTGGCCAACACCAGTAGGCAAGTAGGGTAAAGTGTCTTGCCCAAGGACACAACGACCAGGACAGAGAGCCCGGGGATCGAACCGGCGACCTTCCGGTTACAGATGCGATTCCCAACCCCCTGAGCCACGGTCACCCATACAGTGTGATTCTGTTGAATAACACAGAACAATACTCGTCCAGCTACAGAGAAGCTTCATGACCAAACAGCCAAATGTATAAACTCAAGTTTGTTCCTGAAATGTAAATTTGAGCCAGAAATCTGAGCTACAGACTCCTCAAATAGATCCAATCAGTCATAAGCTCAGGTACTTAAATCCCCCCACCCCACCCACTCAGTGTGCAATATCACTGATCACACTCCACCTCACAATGCACCTGCTCCTCAGAGGGCATGTATGTGTATGTATATATATGTAAACGTGTATGTGGAAATATGTGTGTGTACATATGTACGCATGCATGTATGTATGTGTGTGTATGCATGTATTTATGGGTGCATCCATGCAGGTGTATGTATAACTTGTACATATCTTTCTTGTGTACATTTGTCTGTGTTATTGTGTAAATACGTATGCTTTTGTGTACTTCACACACATGGAGAGATGCCAAACTGCCTTTCATTGTTTTTGTAACAATGGCAATAAAAAGCTATTCTATTCTATTCTATTCTAGTCTATTCTACATGTTGAACTAGTTGGATGTGAGAGAGTAACTTCTTATTTGTACCAGAAAGAACACCGCTCCAGTAATGTAGCCAAGAAAAAACAAAAGAATATGTGACTTTTTCATGCAAAGCATGACTGCACAACTTACTGATGTGTGGCTCAAAGGTTAGAACTGAGTCTAATTTTACCCCCTTTAGATTGTAGCAGTTGGCTTCACATTAGCATGTATGGGGATGAATTTCAAAATTGTTGATGTAACTTTCAAGTAATTTTTCAAGTGGCCTTGAGCGAAAGCTTTGCAGGCATGAAGAACAATGACCCATGAACCATTCAAGTATAAAAAAGGGATGGGGCAATGTTGTGCCAACACATAACCAACTACAGTAATTCTACATTAATTCTGATTCTGTGGTCATCACCCAGTGTGCCAATGGTCAGCACAAATGCAGTAAGACAATTTTTTTTTGTTTTAAGCATGCTGTCAATTCTAAAATAGGAGTTTTTCTACACCTGGGTCTGTATGATCTTAAATATTAGGAAAATCCTTTATATGGTCACCGTGCGCACACAGCTGTGCCTGTGAGCACACAACCTCCATCCACCTGCTGTTCCAACATTCTGTTTGTGAGCATCATTAGTAAAAAGTTGGCTTTTTAGAGAGGAGCTTGTTTCAGACTGCGCTTAGAGGCTACATCAAAAGCCCATTATCAGATATATTATTATTATATGAACAGTGAATCATGCAAAGCTACTCTAGTCCAGTCCAATAACAAAAAATTGAGATGAAAATGAGCAGAATAAATCAAATTTAAGGCAATATTCACAATTTGAGTGATCAAGTCATAAAACTCTTCTGACACATTGACTTGTGGTCTTTATTTGGGACTTGCTGACTCAGAACTCTGCAGTCTTAATTTTGGACTCATGCAATCCCACCACTGACACGGATGATGTACAAAGTCAGTAAAAGGAGGCATAAACTGATGCTTACTTACCTTTCACCGTTGATGTCAACATAATCATGGGGGCAATGCTCACTTTGATTTCCCACAAAGAACTTTTTGAAGTCAACCTTCACAAATTTTTCCTTTGCAACCTGAAAATCAAATACAGCTCAAATGTGATTATTAACTGAGAAAATGTTGTGAAAATGGATGTCAAGGTCATCACAAATCTGATGTAGATGATAGCAACCCCTTATTCATTTTTTTATTCTTAATTTTTTAATTTTTAATTTAAATGAAATTAAAATAGGATCCTGAGGACTTACCTCGATGTTCCACACACATGATGTGCTTGGAGGGTAATTGGAGGGGAAAAATGGTGAAGAGAACAAGCCTTTGTCTTCAGTCATTGTGCCACCACAATCTGAACAACAGATAGTTCATCACTATACTAATATCACAAGAATCAGCAGAAATGTCAGGAGATGGCGTTTACACTGACACAACATAATCCTGCAGGTCAACTGAATTCTATTTCCGTACACATTCAAGTGCATAATCCCAGTTACAGTGACATGTTTTTGCCAGTGTGCTCAAACTTATGGGTTTTTTTTATTGAATAATTATACATTTCTGAGAATGCATCAGTTTCTTGGAAGACAAAATTACACATTAATCTATGTATATAAGTGCAATATTATTTTCATGAAATTCTTTGAGACCCAGTGAAAACAATTGTTTCTTTTTTTCCTTAAAAAAACATGAAGAAGTGATAACTGTTCACAATGTGTCTGCATTTACTTAGTTTAGTCACAGGAATCTGGAAGTAGCTTGCTTTGAAGCCAGGGAAGTTGTTCTCCTCATTTGTGACCAGCGTCAGTAACATGACGTTTCCAGAGATGAAGGATAATGATTTTTGAGGATGACCACACTGTCTGAGAAAAGAACGGATATATTAACTTTTAAAGAGGAACTTTAAAGAAGCCTGAAAGGCCTGTTTTATTTCTGATAACACAGAGCAGTGATACCACAGTCCTGGGGCTGGATGCATGTAAAGATGTGAAAAAGAAAAAAGAAAAAACATCCCAAGCATTTATAAAGGAAGAATGTGTCATACAAATACACAGCTCTCCCATATAGCTCAGACCAGATCTACACAGTTTGGTTTTTAAGTTAGGCAGGAATTAAGGTAGCTTACCAAACTAAAACATCTATCTACATTATTACAAACTTAGCGTTCAAAAACTTCTTTGCAAACCTTTCTGCCTTTTCCCATACACATAGCTTTAGCTGTGAATTTGCAAAAATTCATGCATCCACCCCTGAAGTATATCTGCCCATCACTGTAATAAGCTAAAATCTCAAACACACAGAGGTAGATGACAGTTTAAATTCTGGGAGAGGGATTATTTGTCTCACTCTGTCAGAGCACGTTTCTCTATGGGAGCCAGCGAATCATAGGCTTTGATGAAGTCGTGCTGACAGTCGTCCTCCAAGATCAGACTGTGGAAGTCGAGCCTAACTCGGTGGCCCGGGTCCGCACGAAGCCTCCACTGCAAGTTGAGATTTGGAGGATAAAGATAATAGGGAAACCCTGGAGAATGAACAAATCCAGGGTTTCTGACGTGGATGTCGAAGAACATCCTCTCTGAAAATACATTGAAAAAAGTTCTTGTTTGACCCACACCAGCACTCCCATGAATGCATCACTTTTTTTCCCCAACAGGATATGAAGATACAAGCTTTTATATTTTGTAACCTATTTACCTCCATAAACAGACTTCTTTACATTTTAATTTTAATAAAGTTATATACTTTACTACACAAATGCTTGCAGGTAAACCAGTTTTCACCAGTTAATGGGGTCCTGGCCAAGCGTTGATCTATAGCTGTGAACACAAAAATACATTTATTAAGACACCACATATCAGTTCTTCACTACTAACTCAAATTTCATGATGCTGAAAATGTTCAGATAAATACTGGTGGAATTTTCTTTTTTAATCATGTATGATTTTATTTTGCTGTAATGTAATTATTTATTAATCAAGGTCACTCTGGTTAGCATTTGTTCAGTTAAACACATCAAAACTCACATAACTATGACAATAATGATATCTTGTTGTATCACACACTTCTTTAACAGTCTCATAAAGTCCCAAATAGTGTACTTTTTGCATTTTCAGATAAAAGCACTTTTGTGAGCTTTTTTGCCACATCAGCTGTCGAGCATGACACCTGAAACTTTTTTGCAATAGTAGCAGCACACACTGAGGCTACGTCCACACTAATTGTTTTCTCTCCGTTTTGGCCTCCCGTCCACACTGAGACGGTGTTTTCACTGATGGAAAACGCTCTCAAAAAACGCATGTTTTCAAATCTATCCGGGCTGGTGTGGACGTAGCCTGAGTCCCCATTGCCTTATTAGATACAACGCAGCAGTCTAGCAGCCACTAGAGCAAATCCAGTGTTTCAAAGACTTCAAAGTTTCTCACCACTGGGAGACAACAGTGATACAGAAGTAGATATGTTATTCTAAGTGGTCTCCAGCAAACATCAGTGTTGCATGTACCACACACTATAAGCCATTTTCAGCAGTCGTGCAACCACTTAGGAATCCCTGTTATATTCTGAATCATTTAAATCAACTAAAATCCCGCTGTGAGGGAAGTGGATACCAGAAGATCTCAGATATATGTTAACTTAATATTTTTAAAAAAAAGTAAATATGGTGCTTTGAGTTCAAAGGCTCATATATTAACCTAACTTAGATCATTCCTGCACTTTTCAGAACTTTTGAGATGGTTGAAGAAATGTGTCCTCTTATGGACTATGTGCATCTTCCTGTCTCATGCTGCCATCTGTTAGTCACTGCCGAGTCATATACCTGTTGGAAGTCTGAACTACTTCCTTGGCCAGAACGACCGCTTGACCAGAAAGCAACATTTACTCCAGGAACTCATTTACAATGGCAATTGATTGGGTAACAAACCACAAACAAACCTGTAAAAGAGTGTAAATTGCATGGATCTATGAGCTGTCAAACCTTGTGAGATGATGCTGCTGATGTTCAGGGTGTCACTGGGTTTCAGCAGCCCTTGTCCCTGTTGGCTCCATTCACTTTCTGCTGGAGGCTCCAGAGATTCAATGGCTTCATCCACAGTGGTTTGCTGAGGGACGGGGACATCAAACTTCGACTCATAATACACCACAATGCTGTCGTCACCGCTGTCACCCTCACTGCTCCACAAGACACAGAAAGGATTTATACAGACTTTATGTGCCCCACTGAACAAGAGAGTTCAGTATTTTAGGTACAAACCAACCCACCATATTAAAACCAACCATTGAATACTCTACAGATGTATAGAGTTAGCAAGTTTTGCACATAGTCCAAAAAAAATTGAATCAATAATCAGGTTCAGACCTCCTGTGACAGAAAAATCAGCACAGAAAAGGGCTACAGCTCAGCGTTTAACATCATAATCCCAGACATCCTCAAAACCAAACTGGCCATATTTATAAAACCTAATTTATGTATTCAAAATATTAATATGTGCATTGCTGGTAAATATGGACCCAATTTTGAATACCCCTTCTTTTTTCATACCTCCCAGTCTTACACATGTGGTTTTAGTGTCAGGGTCACAAGGTTATGTTTAGGCTGAGGTTTATGATTAGGCATTCATTTCTGATGGTTAAGGTAAGCGGCTAAGGAAAGCATTGTGTCAAAGACAGGTCCCCCCTAGGATAGCAACACCTGATATGCGCATGCGCGTGCGTGTGCGCATGGCTGGGCATGGCTGCCTTCTGACCACCCCGGGAGGCCATTGCATCTTGATCCATGTCACAGTTGCACCGACTCTAATGAATTGACTGTTGATTCAGCACCTTAACATCTTCAACTAGATAAGCTGATCACAGTGAACAAATGACAAACACACAACATTTAACAGTCAGCATGACACCATGGCCCCTGACAGGCAGTCAAGTTTCTATTTCACAGTACCTGAAAGCCTGGACGGTGTTGCAGTTGAAGTATTTGGCCAGCATTGAGTTTTTGAAGTAAATCAGTTTCAGCTGAAAGAGAAAAAAGTCACACATCATTGCAGCGACTTCCTTTAATTGCCTCAACAAAGACAGAAACACACAACAGAGGAAGCCACAGGTTTGTGATAACATCAAGATTACAATACAGATTCATAGCAAGCAGTCATTTAGCAAAATGAACCATGTTGTAACTGAATCATTAAGCAGTTAACCCTGCAATTTAATCAGGTCTCATTGTGTGGATATATGCATGAACTGCTTTAATTCTTTGTGGCACAGATTAAACAACAAGATCTTGATCCATCTCGACAGGATGGCATCACACAGTCGCTGGAGATTTGTCACATGCACAGTGACATGTGAGACTGTGCATGTGACAAAGACCAGTTGAGACCAGTTGACTACTGTGAAGTCAATGTCATGTTCAAGAAACCAGTGACATGGTGCAGCCACGAGAAGTTGAGTATCATCATCGAGCCCAAAGAGGCCCAAAGTGTACCAACAAAATATTCCCTACACCACTACACCACCACTACCAGGATGAACTGTTGACACAAAGCAGGATAGGGCCATGGTTTCCTGCAAATACTGACCCTACCATACAAATGTAGCAGAAGTCAAGACGCTTAAAACTGGGCAATGGAAAAAAAAATTCATAACATAGAAAAAAGTCTTAGTTTAAAAATGTGAGATGTTTTCTGTCTTCTATTGTGAATAAAATATTGGTTTATGAAATGTACAAATCATTATAGTCCTATATTGTACAGTTCTTTTGATGTTACTGAACAGCCACAGTTTCCTGTTCCCAGCCGACAGGAGACGTACCCAAAGTGGATTCAGAGATGCTGTTCTACAAACCTTGGTTGTAACCAGTGGTTAAAGTGATACATGCGATACAGCATACATGGAGAACACCCATCATGCTGTGAGTCTGTTAGGTCTCACCTGTTGGCTGACTTGAGCGGCCAGCTGAGTAAACTCTGAGCTGCTGGGATCTTCATGCTCTGGCAGGAATCGCTGGTTGCTGATTCCCATGGAGCCGATGTAAATTCTCTGCACCGTGTCATCGTTGTGTACTGATGACACATACGGATGTTTCAATATTGAATATATAATTACCAAAATTTTCAAACAACTGTTTGCATAGAAAAAGCCATAACTAGCTGTGAAAGTCCAATTCAGAAAAGTCACCTGGTGTTATACCAATTACTCCAAACCAAGTTTCCGTTTATTTTTATATTATATTATATTATATTATATTATATTATATTATATTATATTATATTATATTATATTATATTATCAAATAAAGAAGCTGATGTGTTATCAAAACAAGTGTCTGCATGTTTTCACTTCATGGATGAAGCAGGATGAACAGGTGAAAGAAGTAAACTTTTTCAGTACTTGGGGAAAACAAAAAAAGCAATATTATAAAATTAACTAAAAAAATATATAAAGTTCCTTATAGTTTGTGGCTGTGACTCAGCAGGTTGAGCAGGTCATTTGCTAATGACTTAAATGTTTGGTGCTTTGATTCCTGGCTGCTACTGTCTACATACCAAAATATCTTTGGGCAACACACTGAACCCTGGGTTGCTGTTCATCAGGGTGTGAATGTTAGACAGAAAGCACTTAGAAGCAAAAACGCGCTCATATAAATGTGTGTGTGAAATAGAAATGGTGTATCTCAGTGCACAAAGTAGTAGTATTAGTAGAAAAGCAATTTAACTGTCCACTACATTTCTGTAATCCTACTAAATCAAAGTTCAGACTCTCAGATTGAAGACCCAGTTGGAATTTTGGCAGTACAATCACTAAATCTGCAAAAAAAAAACATCACTTAACCCTAATCCTTGTAACTGTAAAAAATAGAAGCAACAACTCCCATCATTCTGAAAAGAAAGTTCATGTCCTCTTGACAGCACAGTAGGACTGATATAGATTGTATAAATGGTGAATGCAGAGGTCTCCAACTCATAAAGAATTGCTGGGTCTTTGAAGGATACCTGCTGTTACTCCACTGAGCTGAACGAACTGCACACCTTTACAAATGAGTAAAGTTTAATAAAGTCTACTTACGATTAAGCGTCACCAAAGCCAGAAAGGATACTATCAGCAGACCGACTCCTATCGACAACCTCTTCTTGGACAGACTGCAGTTTGTGCAACGGTCACCATACTGCAGACAGGAGACTGTTGTTAGAGTTTGCTCAAGATGCAGATTTGGTCACTTAAAGAATCAAACAATATATTATAAGGAAGACAACGACATTGATCAAGAAACATCTTAGGACTGGAGTCAGCACAAATTGACTCAGTCAGTAACAAAGTCCTGCAAGGATGCATTAAAAGAAACACACAAACAAGGATTCTCTATGACAAACATTTAAGCTATGGAAAATATGAACTATAAGAGGAAGCTTTTGGCTGCTGGCAATGAGACAAGGGCAGAGAAACTGAATTGTAATCAACACTTAAGGAACGTTTTATTTTATATATTTTTGTCAAGTCAGAAGTAAAAATATTGAAGAGGAGAAGGTGGAGTGCTAAGTTACTGGGAAACACTAGATTAGTTAAGGTTTGCTAGCACCTGCATCCATAAAGTGTACAGCTGAATTACACACATACAGACAGCTGCTCATTGTTGTTAATACATTTCAACATGTCTCGGTCCTGGGTGGGTGACCCAGTGCTTTGAGTTTCTTGTGTCTCTGAGTTTTTGTATTAGGATCTTAGTTCTTTGTTGCCCCAGTTTATTCTTTAGTGTCTTAGTTTGGCTTTCTTGTATTCTCTTTAGTTTTCTGAGTATTTAGCCGCCCTCTGTGTCTCCCTGTTATTGTTCTCTGTGTTTCTTAGTTGCTCTGTCTCCCCTAGTCAAGTCTGCGTCTGTGTTACATTTCCTGTTTTACTTTGAAGGTCTGTGTCCTACGTGAATGTATTGAGTTTCGCTTCCCTTGGGTCTCGTTATGTCCGATTTCTCCCAGTTCAGTGACTTCAGTTAGCAGCTGTAGCTACAGCCACACTCCCAGCTTCAAGCCTTAAGAGTATCCAAACCAACAAGTGGTCTAAAAATGGTTAGGGTTATTTTTATGAAATAAAACCAGTTACTGCGACTCATGTCCACCATCTGGATTAGTCACTGTTTTCATTAATGCTATTTTTAGGCAGCCTTCTGATGACAGCCTGAGAAATTACCCCAACTTCTCGCTATAAGTGGGCGGTTTCTCAAAAGGCAGAAATTCAACCGTTTCCTTCTCTTTTTTTTTTTTTACTTTTTGTGATTAGCGTTAGGGTGGAATAAAATGATTAATGAGATTCTGTCTCTTCTAAAGAGAAAACAGTGGTGAGAGAAAGACTACAAGACTGTGTGCACAGATTATTTAGCGGTGCACAGAATTTGGAACCATTAACAACATATTAATATAAAACAAGAACATCTCTGTTTTTTAATCTAAGCTGAAACCAACAAACCTGTTCCTGATGTGACATAATGGGCAGGTTAACATTACAGATACTGGACTCACCTGTCTGGTACTTAAACTCTCCTGTGAACCCAGTAAATCCACAGTGTCAGTGTCCCAACTCATGGTTCCCAGGGGGCCTTAAAAAAAGATTCAGTGTGGTTTATTGTCCTCTTTATTTTTTTTAATTTTTCTTTATTTAAAGATCAGCAGGTCTCTCTCTCCCTCTCTGGGTAGAAACCGATGGGTTTGTGTTGGTTCTTATTCGAAGCTCAGTTCTGGAAAAAGACTGAGTACAGAGATGAAAGATGAGATTGGTGGCCTGTTCTTTAAACCGTATTCAGATTCTGATATATGTATGAATCATCCTAATTTTAATCACATCAAATTATTAAGACAGAAAAGTCTTGAGTTTTTGAGATATTAATCTGAACATTAATATCTCAAAAACTCTCTAAAAAGATCACATTTTCACCGCTCGTCCTTTTCTAAATAAATCTGTTTAATTTGGGACAGTTGCACTAAAAAAGTCTGAGTACCAGATGGTTGATACATAAGTCAGACCCATGTTTGGGCAAAAGACAACAAGTACCATTTTTTTTAAGTGGTTTTATAGAAAACAGTACAGCAGCAACAGTTTTCTCCTTTTTGTACAAAGTTTGTCTTTCATGCACTTTGACACTTTAGTTTGGTTTTTGTTTTTACATGTTGCTATGATGTAGTAAAGAACAATCACAGGGACTTCATGAGTTTCAAAAAGTGTTATTTGCAAATAAATAAATATTTGTCATTGGTGCCGCGACCAAAACCTCTGACTGACGCTCACACTCATTTCTGCTGATGCCCCGCCCCCACAGGATGTGTGTGGTCTGTTCAAAAAGAACTAAAAGAAAACATATCAATTTAAAAACATTTTTCTAAGAATGCTGACATGACCATATATATATATTTTCTAAATGTCATCACTATTTTACCTCACACCATAATCCTTTCTAAACCAGAGCGCATCATGGAAACTCATATCTGATTGTTAGCAGAGATTTTGCACTTGAGAAAAAAGATGATAAACAACAAAATGATTCTGGAAACTAACAGAAGATGAATTTCATTAAAAATTAAAACAACAATAATGCATATTAATCCAAATATAAGAGATAAATGTAGTAATGCTGTGAGATCATATTTGTATTTGAGAAGAACTCGTTTAACTGAAGATCTGATTTTTTCTTCTTTTGAAAGCTTTAAATATCCTACTTGTCCGTTGCTTCTGTCAGTGTGGGAGCAGCAGCACAGAGTCTTTAATGTTGTGTTTGAATGCAACTTCAGCAAAAGTGACTTAAACAACCACAGTAGATTTATGTGTCAGAATAACTTAACAATTTAGTTTATTTTACCGTCTGTGGGAAAATAGAACTTTTGGCTCAGCTAATTTAAGTATCCCAATATGTCACAATGATACACCAGTATTCACAAAAGGCAGCAGGGCTGAGCACACCGCAGCAATTTTTCACCACCTCTTTTAAAGTTAAAAAAATTTTTTTCCTTCAATTCAGCCGGCGGGACAAAAAATAAACGACATAATAATATTGAGTGCGCAGCTGCAACTCAGCTGCTAAGTTGTACCTGCTCCCCCTGCACACCTTCTTCTCTTCAAACGTTTAACCCTCTGTAGAACCTGGGACCATTTCGTGGCCTTTCCGTTTTTTAATTCCACGCCATTTCCACTGTGTTTAATGGAGTATAGCCAAATTTTCAAACATGTATTTTTTTCCCATTTTATTTTAAAATTTCAGTCTGAGTTTTTTAAATGAGCTTAAATGGCTGAATAAAAGGCATACATCCACTATCGAACCTCTTGGCCGATTTGTGCCCCATTGAAACCCTTTATAAACGCTATTTTTCACGCCAGAAAAATTACGGTCAAATCGACCGTCAGGTTTCCAGCTTAGGTTTCGTTTTGGACTACAGGCCTTAGAGTTGTAATTTTTTTATTTGTCCACCGGGTGGCGCCCTTGCTCCACATGTGACGCCTGCTGGAACATACACATGTTCTCCAGCGGCCTGCTCGAGACAGATACCCGGAAAAGGCACACTAATTTCCCGCGTACCACAGAAGCTTGGCCCGCTGCTCGTTCCGGACCATTTTCTGCCCTTAGGTTCGTTTGATTTTTTTTTTTTTTTAATCAACAGGAAATGACGTATTTGTTTTCACGTGGTAGCGGAAGTGTGTGCTGCAGACACGGGAACCGAACCATATGCTCCGGCGCTGCGCGAAACACACTCCTCCCCGGGGGAGCAGGAGCAGCAGCGCCGCCTGGGGACATTTTTGGCTTCTGGAAAAAAAATTAAAACCGGATCGAAATTAATGTTCGTGCCAATCTTTTGTCCATCTAAAGGCCTAATTATAATAACAATAAAATATTACTTCAAATGGTTTTTTTGGAAAATATTTTATGTTTTATGTTTTATGTTTTTGGGGCAAAAAAAGCAGTGCGCCCATGTGACGAAACCGGGATATAAAGGGTTAAAATCCGCGAAATGTAATTAAAACTTGACATGAATATTTCAGGGAGAAGTAGTTTTAAAAGACTGACCAATTTAAAGTGAAAAAAAAAATTAATATTTAATATTTTTATTGCACTTTTTGGGCGTGGTCGATAGTGTGCATTTTATGAAATGCGCTCCTGGAAAAAAAAATAAAAGGCGATCGAAATGACTGTTGGTGCCAATCTTTAGTCCATCTAAAGGCCTAATTATAATAACAAACAAATATTACTTCAAATGTTTTTTTTGGAAAATATTTATTTTTTTTTTTTTTGGGGCTAAAAAAACAGGGCGCTCATGTAATAAAACTGGGATTTAAAGGGTTAAAACAATGAAAATATAATTAAAACTTGACATGGATATTTTAAGCAGAAGTAGTTTTAAAAGATTGACTAATTTAAAGTAGAAAAAAATATTGATATATAACATTTTTAGAGCACTTTTGGGGCGGGACCATTTTTTGGTCCCGAGGTTCACGAAGGGATGGGATTTTGAGGTTCTACCAACACTGGCGACCACCAGTGATACCCTGCAGCCTCCTACTAGATACACCTATGATATCAACTAGTTATCGAATTCACTAGATTTTCAGAAACCTTGAGCTGAAAACCAGGAGCCAGGACGGCAAATACACACAGTCCTACCGCTCACAGACAACTGCCTCAGAGCATGAACACTTCTACTTAAGTAATGAACACTTTTGCCACCTTTGACTATCAAACAACATAACAGACATGAAGGTTAAATAATAATAAATATTGTTTTAAAGGAAAATGAAAAGTGGATTCATTATATAAAAATGTAAAACCATTACATCAGTGAAACACTGTTCTCACTGCTATATCACTAGAAAAGAATTAATTCAAGTTGAATTGACACTTGAAGACAAAACCTGTTTATTGCAGACTAATCTGTTCATTCAAAGCTGTGCGTGTGTGTGTGTGTGCGTGTGTGTGTGTGTGTGTGTGTGTGTGTGTGTGTGTGTGTGTGTGTGTGTGTGTGTGTGTGTGTGTGTGTGTGCGTGTGTGTGTGTGTGTTTTGATGTGGTTTAATCTCAGTTAGTTTAACTTCAGTTAGCATAAAGAGATTCTGATTTGTTCATTTTCTGATGATTTAGTTATGTTATGCTTGCAGATCCACATTTACCGTACTTACATTTATATAGTAATGCGTAGTTTCACTGACCAGTTACATCCTTGCAGCACTTTATTCTAAATTTCAAAAAGTTGATCTATATCACATCCTGTGAGGTGACAGTGCTAACTACTGTAGCACATCTTGTGCCTCAAGACACAATGTACAAGACACAAGACACAATGTACTTTTGCGCTATACGTGATCACAGCTTACTATTGAGATTCCTCCATGATCGGCAAAAAGCAGCAGGAACCCTTGAACCTGGGAATCTGGATTAAGGTGGTGGGAACATTTCTTGGGACATGGGCAAGGTTCTCCTTGAATTCAAAAATTAATTTAACTTAATTCAATTCACCACTGATCCATGAAACTTTGCACAGACATGGCATATTTGACCAGGACAGTATATAATAATTAATATTGCTCCTTAATGCTGAACAACAGATGTAATCATGTTAAACGCCAGATTATTCAACTGCATGTACAAAAACGATTAGAATAGTTTGTATGAAGACAGAAAACACTCACCTTTGACTTCTTTTTCAGCTCAGAGGTGTTTACGTGGTTTTCAGCTGCACACGCAGTCGGTTGTTTTAGCAAACTTCAGCAGATGTTTAAAACTGTCCACATTTGACATTTGAACCAACAGGAAACTAAGTATTTATTTAGGGAGTGACTAACGTTGAAACCAGTTCTCACCACCCACCAGTAGCTGCCAGTGTTAAAAGAACCCACAAAAAAACAAGTGAATGTGAAACTACTTTAGTAAAGCAATATTCAGCTACAGTTTTCTGTAGTAGGGGAGACCGGGGGTAGTTGTAACATGGGTCAGTTGTAACACTTCCAATTTCTCCAATCAGGGCTAAGTTTCAAATGATGTGACTCATCCTGTGCATGCCCAACTCAGTTCTGCTATCACATGTGAAAAATCAGCACATTTTGTCAAAAACAGACAATTTAACATGAAAAAAAGTAATTTGTATGCCAAAAAGTAAGTTTTTCTACTTCATTTCAATGTTTAATAGCATTATCTGCTTTGCAGTTAAACTCCATCCATCCATCCATCTTCATCCGCTTTATCCGGGGCCGGGTCGCGGGGGCAGCAGCCTAAGCAAAGAGGCCCAGACCTCCCTCTCCCCAGCCACCTCCTCCAGCTTATCCGGGGGAACACCAAGGCGTTCCCAGGCCAGCCGAGAGATATAATCTCTCCAGCGTGTCCTGGGTCTGCCCCGGGGCCTCCTCCCGGTGGGACATGCCTGGAACACCTCACCCAGGAGGCGCCCAGGGGGCATCCTTGTCAGATGCCCGAACCACCTCAGCTGGCTCCTTTCGATGTGGAGCAGCAGCGGCTCTACTCTGAGCCCCTCCCGGATGGCCGAACTTCTCACCCTATCTCTAAGGGAGAGGCCAGCCACCCTTCGGAGGAAGCTCATTTCTGCCGCTTGTATCTGCGATCTCGTTCTTTCGGTCACTACCCACAGCTCGTGGCCATAGGTGAGGGTAGGGACGTAGATCGACCGGTAAATTGAGAGCTTCGCTTTTACACTCAGCTCCCTCTTCACCACGACGGACCGGTGCAGCGTCCGCATTACTGCAGCTGCACCAATCCGTCTGTCGATCTCCGGCTCCCTTCTCCCATCACTCGCGAACAAGACCCCGAGATACTTGAACTCCTCCACTTGGGGCAGGAACTCATCCCTGACCCGGAGTGGGCACTCCACCCTTTTCCGGCTGAGAACCATGGCCTCAGATTTGGAGGTGCTGATCCTCATTCCCGCTGCTTCACACTCGGCTGCGAACCGTTCCAGTGCGAGCTGGAGGCCCTCACCCGATGAAGCCAACAGAACCACATCATCTGCAAAAATCAGAGATGAGATTCTGAGGCCACCAAAGCGAAAGCCCTCCGCCACTTGGCTGCGCCTAGAAATTCTGTCCGTAAAAATTATGAACAGAACCGGAGACAAAGGGCAGCCCTGGCGGAGCCCATCACCCACCGGGAACGAGTCCGACTTATTGCCGGCAATGCGAACCAAGCTCTTGCAACGGTTGTATAGGGATCGAATGGCCCGTAGCAATGGGCCAGACATCCCATATTCCCACAACACCTCCCACAGGACACCCCGAGGGACACGGTCGAATGCCTTCTCCAAGTCCACAAAACACATGTAGACTGGTTGGGCAAACTCCCATGCACCCTCAAGTATCCTGGAGAGGATAAAGAGCTGGTCCAGTGTTCCGCGACCAGGACGAAAACCGCATTGTTCCTCCTGTATCCGAGGTTCGACTAACGGACGAACTCTCCTTTCCAGCACCCTGGCATAGACTTTCCCAGGGAGGCTGAGGAGTGTGATCCCCCTGTAGTTGGAACACACCCTCCGGTCCCCCTTCTTAAAGATGGGGACCACCACCCCGGTCTGCCAGTCCACAGGTACTGCCCCTGATCTCCACGCAACATTGCAGAGGCGTGTCAACCAGGACAGCCCTACAACGACAGCCCTACAAAGAGGAGACATGGGCCCATCCTCCCGCAGGCCCACCACCCGCAGGAGGCGCCATAGGGGTCGGGTGCATTGTGTGCCGGGTGGCGGCCAGGAGCGGAGGCCCTGGTGGACTGACCCCCGGCTGCCAAGACTGGCAATAGGGACATGGAATGTCACCTCTCTGGTGGGGAAGGAGCCTGAGTTAGTGCGTGAGGTTGAGAGGTACCGGCTAGATATAGTCGGGCTCACCTCTACGCATGGCTTGGGCTCTGGAACCAGTCTCCTGGAGAGGGGCTGGACTCTGTCTCAGTCTGGAGTTGCCCCTGGTGAGAGGCGGCGGGCTGGGGTGGGTATTCTAATATCCCCTCGGCTTGCTGCCGGTACGTTGGGGTTTTTCCCGGTGGACGAGAGGGTTTGTTCCCTGCGCCTTAGGGTCGGGGAACGGGTCCTGACTGTCATCTGCGCTTATGCGCTGAGTGGCAGTTCAGAGTACCCAGCCTTCTTAGAGTCCGTGGGGGGTGGGGGGGGGGGGGGGGGGTGCTGGAGGGTGCTCCACCTGGAGACTCTGTTGTCCTGCTGGGAGACTTCAATGCTCACGTGGGTAACGACAGCAAGACCTGGAGGGGCGTGATTGGGAGGAACGGCCTCCCTGATCTGAACCCGAGTGGTGCAGTTAAACTCATCAAACTTAAATTATGTTATTTGTATGTCTATGGGGATATATTCTGTGTAGGTCTTTAGTGCTAATGTTTTAGCCGTTGGCTGTAATGTTAGCTAGTTCATGGCTATAGGAGTCTGGGTCAGTTGTAACAGCAACAGTCTGGGTTAGTTGTAACAATAATGCAGATGTTACAACTTACCACACTATTACTTTAACTTACATTAAACAAGTTGGGGCAACGACATCAGCAGAGAGAGGTTCACTGGTCGCTTTTGTATATGCGGTTAATGCCATTGGCAACACAATTCCTCCACTGTTCGTGTTCCCACACATACATTATGCAGACCACTGTGTTAGAGATGGACCAGTAGGACGTACTGGTAGTGGAAATAAATCAGGATGGGTGCAAGAAACAGATTTCCTCATCTTTCTGAAGCACTTTGCAAACCACACCAAGGTAAGCCAGGATAAAAAGTAATGGAATTGCAATGCTGGTGAACAACTACATTTTTTCAGCTTCATTGTTATGTTCAAAATTGGTGCAAGAGTTGTAGGTTATAATGCCCACTGAGCCAATGAGGCCAAACTCAAGGAAGACCAACCAAAATTAATGAAATATTCAGTTGCAGAAAATTTGGGGGGTTGGAATATGTTCAAAAGCTAGATGTCTGCATTCTGTCACACACACACACAGCTACCTAAATGGATGTAAGTGCATTCATGTGTTGAATAAACAAAGATTACATGTTAATATTTTGTTAGTACCCTTATTTCATTGTGTTACATTTTACCCCAGGATATGTTACAACTAACCCAGACTATGGGGTTAATTGTAACATTTCACTCTTTGTGTTTGAGGCCATACCATGCAATGGGTAATTGTGCTGCAGAGAAAATAGCTGCACTATTTAATAGCAGAGACATGTAAATACTTTGCATTACATTTTGAATCCACTACCTTAAAAGAGCTCCAATTTACAGACAGAAATGTCAAAAATGTTACAACTATCCCCGGTCTCCCCTACTGATGGTAACTGGTGTGAGACAATCAGACACAATTCAATTAATGTTCAAACCCTCAAAACCACATCATAATAATCAGATACTGAAAGTAATAGAAACATTGTTTTGCAGATAAAACATTCATAAGGCTTCCAAAGCAAAGACTAAAAACTTCAATTTTCTGTCAATTTACACATGAGAAGATGGAAACAATGGTATCTACTACTGATATGACGATTTTATACTTGTATAAAACATTATGTTGAGTACTGGTTCATCATTAATTTAAAAACACTGGAAGAAACCACCAGTAATTTCCATTTGCAAAAGGACTTAAAAAAAAAAAGCAAATTAAACATAAGTTTAATTCACCAACTTAAAAGGAATTATCCAGTAGCAGCCCGCTTCAATCAGCTAATGACGAGGATGTAGTTTTGTGGTAATGAGTACATAAAGAAGGAGCTCATGACTCGTTACTGAGGAGAAGAGTCTTGGATTATTCGTTGTTTTATTTTTTTGTCGGATACATTCTGCTGCCATGTTTGTATATTCTTTAGACCTGGAGGGATCTGTACTCGGGTTTTTGAAAACACCTGACCAGGTTCAACTTCTCAAACATGACGGAAGCCGGACCACATCCAGTGGTTTTTAAGTGGAAATACCGCGAGCGACTCTGAACCAAAGCACGGCCTAGAAAACGAGCAACACGAGACATGCAAGATGCATGCAGATAAGAGTCGGTGCACGGCAACTCCTCGTGATCAGCTCAGATCTTCATGACAAAGGAAAAAAATCTGTAAGAACAAAAGTAATAATAACAGGAAACTAAAACTAACAGAATAACATTAAAAAGTGAAAATTACAAATTAAATCATCATTCTTAGAGTGAATTAACTAATGTTCCATGATATCTCGATCCATCCATTTTTTCCCTTTTTAAATATGGTTACACGGCTCAAAATAAAATCTTTCCTCTCCACGCTGAGGTTTTCTCAACCCACCTAAAAGATGTAATCTTTCTAGAGAGTCCTGAGTATATCCTGGGCTTCCTTCTTGTAGGGCATAGAGGTGCCCAGACCACTTCACCTGGCTCCTTTTTATGTGGCGTAATAGCAGCTGTATTCTGAAGCCCTCCCAAATGACCAAGCTCCTCCCCCTCATCTCTTAGGGAGAGCGCAGATGGACTCCTAAGCGCTTCCTCTCTGGGTCTTAGATGATTTCACTCAGTTGGTCACCTCATAATTACAGAGCTGAATTACAGAATAAATCTTAATTATTCCACCATACCACATTCTGCAAAAAACAAAGATTAAGACAAAGATTCATCCATCATATCTTTTTGAACAGTATAAGCATGTCTGTTTCCAGAACCTCTGAAAGATTTGGACCACAGAGCAGTAAGACAACCACTATACATGCAGGCAGAGTCATATATACAGTGGGGCAAAAAAGTATTTAGTCAGCC